CCAAGATTATCTTCTGTGTCTGTGTTAATTGGTTTCCCTTTTCTTTGTTGAAGAGGGTCTGTGCAGTCTTTCTGCCTAGTCCGCCATCTTGCCGGAACTCCCTAAGGCTATAAATATTTACTGACATAGATTGTCTTGCCTTTTTCACATAGAACAGCTGGTGGGTTTGAACCACTGACTCTTTGGCTGGCAGCCCAGTGCTTTGGCCACAGCATTACCAGAGCCCCTCAAATAAATGGCAGCCTCTTTATCAGGTTGCAATTGCAGGGGGATTTGTGTTTCATTGCAAAATCATAATGTGTTAAATAAACAGGTGAAAACAACTTGCCTTCTACTCTTTGAGAATTCTTTAATTTACTGTTGCTCTGGTAGATGGTATAATATTTATTTTATTTCCCTGTACTAGTTATATAATCTCCTTTAGCACTAGGGTAAAATGACATAAAATGAATAATTATACTTTTTAACACCTGGGCTTTCTCTGGAATAAACAAATTTTCAGTGAATTCAGAAATATAACAATTGAAGTGCTGAATTCATTAAAACACAGTTGAGTTGCACACACTCGGAGTTTAGATTGGAGAGGGAACTGGGATACGTGTAGGGAGTGGTTTGATAATTCGAAGTCACTGGCTTGATTGAAAGTTTGTTTTTTTCATCTCTTGTTGGTTTATAGTCACAAAGACCTAACCACAAAGCCTTATCTATGAGTGGTAAGGGAAATAGGAGTTTCAGGAAGAATTGACAGAATATCTTCCAGTGAAAAATAAATAATTAAATAAAGTTAGTTTTCCTTGTGTTAAAATAATAAGATTTGTAGTTTCTACTCCCATTGGGGGGAGAAAAAATTTCCAATGCATATTTTGCATTCTTAAGGCAAAGAGGAAGGACACACAGCAGGATATATACCATTCCACATTTTTTTTCCTCTTTGGATAAAATCCAAAATCCAGAATCCAAAGTGGAAAGGAAAAAAATAAATCTATGTTCACACACACACATATTTGTTTTAAGGGAGAATGTATCATACAAAATGCAATTATAATCCTAAAGAACAATTTTTCAAGAAGAGAATAAAGTAAACCATTTATTTCCCTTAACTGAACAAGATCAACCAAAAAAAAAAAAAAAAAAAATTCACAGCTACTCACCTAACCTCTCAATGGAATAATATCGCTGCTTACTGTCCACACGTACTGTCTCAGCATAAGGGCTGCCAACACCGTAACCAATGATGTATCCTCGCACGACTATGTTTGGGTTCAGAGGAGGAGTCCAACTCATGATGATGCAGTTGGTCTGGGGCCTCACGTGAAGAGAGCTTGGCTGGTCTGGAACCTGAGACTCTAGGATGCAAAAAGAGACATCGTGAGCATGGCCTTATACCTCCTAAGAGATTGTGTAGCATTCATCTCTGACTCATAGCGACCTACGTAAGCAAAACAGTAAGCATTATAGTCTAATGGGGAAGACAAATAAGTAAAAAGGGGTTACAATATGGCCTAATAAATATTTGATAGTTTAATACATGTATGTGCAGCTTGTTTACTGGAAACCAAAGAAGTCTTCTGGGAAGAAAGGATATAGGAAAGGATATGCCTATTCACACTTTAATAGTTAGTTCTATGCCTAGCACAGTGTCTAACAATTACTAAAAAAAAAAAAAAAAAAAAAAACTCACTGCCTTCGAGTCAGATCTGACTCAGCAACCTTTCCTTGGGTTTCCCAGGCGGTATCACTATGGAAGTAGATTGTCCAGTCTTCCTTCTGAGGAGTGGCTGCTGGGTTTGAACTGCCAGCCTTCTGGTTAGCAGCCAAATCCCTTAGGCACTACACCACCAGAGCTCCTTAACAATTGCTAGGTAGTCAAAAATATTTATGATCTGAATCTTATTCAGACTATTTTTGTTCATTATTTTTCTCCTAAAGATAATCTCTGAAGCTAAGTCAGGGCAAATTATGCAAAGGAATCTGATGACCAAAGGTAATTTTACAACACACTTTTCTCCTTAATGTAATAGCAAAGCCAAAGCAATCCTCATCCCCAACTTTATCCATCTTTGGCATGCACGCTTCCAGCTCAAGTGATGGATGGGAGCATGTCTTTTATTGAAGTGTTTAAAATAGCTACCAGATCAACAGCTTTTCTAAAGATGCTGCATTCTAAACATGCTACATCAACAGCATTTTCTAAATATGCTATTTTCTAAAAAGGTCCTTTTGTAAGCAAAAAGGGGCAGGCTATTATTTGTCTGTCCTGAAGAAACCTGTGATATAATATGCAAAGGCATCCGTAAAAAAATAAAGCCTTAAAATGTGAATGTAAACCCTGACAGCAGACACACAATGTTTATGAAATATTTCTTACTACAAACTCTAAGTAAAAGTAATAAAAGAGATGAAAGGGAAGGATTAATACTTTTCAACCCTATTCCCACAGAAGGCTTGCCAGTATCTTTGGAATGCTATGGGCTCTACATAAAATCTGTTTAACACATTTGAAGCTACTGCAATAACTACTGAAACAACAATATAATCTTCCTAACCTTATTATATTTCAAAAATAAACTAAATACTACTCAGATATTCTATGTTAATAACAATATGGAAGCATAATAATGAATGGTATTATTCAACATAGTTAAGAATAAATAGAAACACAATTTTAAATGTTTAGAGAACAGTAACTATTTCCCTATTTTTCAGCAAAGCACAGGGCAGTGCCCCTACAAGTTGGTTTTGTAGACCCAGAATAACATCCATCAGTGCCTTAAGGGTAATATGGTAATGAGCGCACAAACTGGCTAGTAAGGAAAATGAGCTATTAGTACACAGGACTCATCTTTATCCTTCCTTGCATAAAATTAGTTTTAGTTCTAAATCTATACTTCAAAATAATTTTAACATTTAAAAAAATTAGGAGTGCTAATACTTAAGAACTTATACCACTTCTCCATCTAAATATTTAGTGGGTGTTTACACTCCATTAGGATCATTGGCCTTGAAGGTAGCATGCCTATCAAGACAATTTTAGACCTAGCCTATTGCCATCTAGTCGATTCCGATGCCTTGCAACCCTATAGACAGAGTAGAAGTGCTTCCATAGGGTTTCCAAGATTGGAAATCTTTATGGAAGCAGATTGCCACATCTTTCTGTGATACAGCAGCTGCTAGGTTCAAACCACTGACCTATTAGTTAACAGATGAGTGCTTTAACCACTATGCCACCAGGGCTCCTTGCATTAGACCTAAACTATCCATAATATATGATCTCATCATAAAGATGAGAGATCATTCATAATGCAGACTATCTCATTCATGTCTGCCCACTCACTTCTTAATGCAAAAACAAATGACAATTTCATTTTTCTACTACCTGAATGAGTCTTCTTTAACACAGATGACCTTATGGGCTATGAAAGTGGTTATTACAAGCATGAATTATAAAATATCAATTTAGAAAATTTGTTATGGAAGTACATGAGTACTCTTGTTTTGGACTGACACTGAAATTGGGTTCTGAAGGACATGACACTTTTAAAAGTATCTCTAGCACAGTGATTACACACACAAAGCATACAAGAGGATTAGGATAATAATTGAGATAATTTGAAACCACAGAATATATTTTGCTTGAAATATTTAAAATAATGAAGTCCCGAATTTCCACTGGAGTTTGAATTATCAAGATAACTAGGTCAACTGCCATTCTTGATTATGGAAACATAGATTCTGTCTTAGTCTTATTTGGTTCTAAAGACTATATATTATTCTTTAAGAGATGATTACAGGCTTCCACTAATGATTAATGCTCATAGATAATACACTAGAAAATGTATTAGATTAATTCCTGTGGCATTTCAACAATTACTGTGTACTTTCTATATACCAGTCACTCTTTCAGGTACTGGGGATGTAGTGCTGACTGGGTTTGGGAGGTAGGATTGAAGTGAAAGTAAGACAAAAAATAAATAAGGAAACGGGATCTTGATAAGTGCTGAGCCTATGGGATAGTAACTGATTCATTGGGAAGCTCTCTCAAGAGAGAGCCTTAAGGTGAATGAATGATCAGTAAGAACCAGTCAAGCAAGTATCAGGGTAGAGAGCATCTTAAGAGAGAGAACAATTACTACAAAGACCTAGGTATATAATGAGCTTGGTTGGAGAAACCAAGATTGCGCAATCTACTTCTGTAGAGATATCGCCTTGGAAACCCAAGGAGGTGGTCCCAATCAAGGGCAGTGAGTTTGGTTTTTGTTTTAAAGAAATTAACTATGCCTGGAGGATAATGGCCAAGGAGGAAAATAAAGAAGATAAAAGGGACTAGGGGCTAGGCTACTGTAAACAAGGCATACCAAGGTAAGTAAGGGATTTAGGTTTTATTCTAAAAACAGGGAGAACACTTTGAATGGTCTTCTACAATCATCTGATTGATGACTTTAAAAAATCACTTTGTTTTTCTAGGTGAAAAGAAGTTTAAGTAAGAGGCATAGATGAAGGCAAAGAGACCATAAAAATACTTAAGCACTTGTCTGGTGGCTGTCGTGGAGATGAAGTTAAGTAGATATATCTGGGACATTTGGGAGATATAGTCAACAGAACTATTGATTGAATGTGAGTGAGGAGATTTTCAAAGAAGCAACTCAATGATATTTGGATTAGGAATCTGGGTAGATGATGTCCTGACATGAGGAAAAACAAGTGGCATGTTAAATTTGAGATACCTATTCCTCATACTTATGGAGAGGTCAGGGAGGTAGTTAGGGATGTAAATCTAGGGTTTTTGTGAAAGGCTATGCCTGGAAATATAGACGTGAAAGCCACCCCAATCCTACAAAACCAAGACCAAACCCACTGCCATTGAGTTGATTTCAATGCATAGCAACCACCATTGGGTTTCCAAGGCTGTAAATCTTTATGGAGGTAGATTGCCTCATCTTCCTCCCTAAGAGCAGCTGGTGGGTTTGAACTGCTGACCTTCTGGTTAGCAGCCAAGTGCCTTACCCCTTATGCCACCAGAGCCCCCTAACCCCATCATATGTTGTTGTTGTTGTTATTTGCCTTCGAGTCGACCCCAACTCATAGTGACCCCTCCTTGGGTTTCTGAGGCAGTATCACTACGGAAGTAGGATTGCCCAACCTTCCTTCTGAGGAGTGGCTGGTGGGTTTGAACCGCCAGCCTTCTGGTTAGCAGTCAAGTGCCTTAGGCACTATGCTATCAGAGCTCCTACCCCATCATATAGATGGTATTTAAAATAAATGTGTGTAAGCATCTGTGTTATAAATAAAATGATGTTATTACTCTGTTCTCAACCCCTAAAGTCTTCCCATATCACATTGTAAGGCCAGGTTCCTTAAAACAAACAAACAAACAAAAACTCACTGCCGTTGAGTCAGATCCGATTCATAGCAACCCCTCCTTACATTTCTGAGGTGGTATCGCTACAGAAATAGATTGCCTAGTCTTCCTTCTGAGGAGTGGCTGGTAGGTTTGAACCGCTAGCCTTCTGGGTAGCAGTCAAATGCCTTAGGCACTAAAATCATATATGATCTATCTCTCTCCACTTACCTCCTTGTTCTAATTTCCTATTAATTTCCCCTTTTGCTCACTTCATCCCAGCTATCTACTCCACAATGGACATCTTGCTATTCCTCAAACATGCTAAACATGATCTGGGATAAGATATTGGCATTTCCTGGGTTCTGCCACAGAAGCTCTCACCAGACATGACTTCCTCCTTCTTCAGACTTTTGTTATTTAATTCCCAATGACAACCTTCCCTGCTTATCACATTAAAATTTTCAATCTTTCCTTCATCACTTTTATCTCCTTATTTATATCTCCCCTCATATAGAATTTATTACCAATTATTGTGTTATATATACTTAACTAAATTATTTAATTACTTTTGTCTCATCTCCTTCCATAAATTCTCTAACTCCAACACCTAGAAACACATCTTGCAAAAAGTCCACAAAATTATGAGTATAAATTATCTATTTCCTATAAAGTTCAATGCAATTGTCATTATATAACTATCATTGTATATAAAATTACCACTGTTCTATCCATAGGATACAAATTTTCAGAGAAAAAGGATGAGAAACATAGGAATGAAAATAAAGTTATTAAAGTCATCTTCTCCAAGTGATCAGCAAAGTTGTCTCCACCAGAAGGAAGATGAGGCACTTTGCTTCCATAAAGATTGTAACAGACTTGGGAACTCTGTGTGGTTGCTATGAGTCAGAATTGACTCAATGGTAGTGAGTCTGGTTTGGTTTTTCCATTTAGTGCACTGCATTTATGGGTCATTTTATTGAAATTTTTGTTACAATTGTCATTAGC